GGTCCAGTGGTTAAGATACAGGGCTGTCACACCAGGAGGACAGCAGGTCCAGTGGTTAAGATACAGGACTGTAACAGCAGGTGGGCAGCTAAATAAAAGTGTTAAATGAGCTATTTAAATTCCAAAAAGTATGTGAAAGCTGTGACCCATTGAGAGTTGCATAACAGAGGGCGAGCCCATTCCATTTCGAGTTGTCCCGCTGGTCTTGCGGAGCGCAGACCGATGTCGAATGGGGGGACCAGCCCCCTGGGGTCCTGTGAAAGCTGTCGTATGAGACGGGCTGGTCCTGGGGCTGTTTCTCCCGAGCCACAAGTGGGAGGGTGGGGGCAGGTTGTCTGCGGACGCCTGTCGCTGGGGAGATGGCAAGGGTGTCATCTTGCTGTCCCATCCAGCTGTTTCTTGAAAGAGCCAATGGTCTTGACTTCCACAAAACAGCTGAGTGGCTCGTTCCAGACACCCGCCCCCCTTTGTGTCAAGACGTTCTGCTTGTTCTTGTTCAGAAGGCTTCGGAGTTTCCAGCTGTTTCCAGCTGTGTTCCTGACACTTGTTTAGAATGGAAAAATAAAGTGGGGGTGAATGAAGTGGTAGTGATTCGTGCTGAACTCGGGGTGCATTGAAGAGAGGGCGTTACCCTCCATTTCCGAAAGTGGGGGGTAGGAGGAGGTTTGTGTGAAGATCCTGCTGTCTCTCATTAGCCCTGACGATAATATAAACACTGCCAAACAGTATTCTATCATCTTCCATGCTTTTGGGGAGAAAGCCAAACAGCAATTGCTCACGCCTGAAGAAGGCTCCACAGCTGAAACGTTGTGTTTTCTCTCTTCTCCTTTCAGCATGAAATAAAGCTAGTCCTTGTTCCTTTGCAACAATTGATGCAGGCTTCACAACTTCAGGCAGCTCATAGACTTGGGGTTTATCCCAGTTTCTGTGGCCGTTAAGCCAAGTGAACCTGCACAACTCTGCCTGCAGGGGGCACTGCTGATTGCCAGAGGTGAACTACCGCTCATTGGTGTAGCTAGGCTGACTGCAGGCGACGGGTGGGAAGTCCTTGGACAGAACTCGAACCCGAGACCCTGTCTGGCCAGTGCTCGCCAGCCCCTCTGGACTCGGCTGTGACCGAATTAGTACACCCCTCAGGCAGTAATTCCCTGCGCCAGCTCAGCTGTAAACAGCCTTAATTCCCTTCATAATGGGCCTGGGCGCTGAAAGGAAATGAGGTTAGTGGGCTCGCTGGGAGCCTAATCCTGCGTGCGCCTGTATCCCAGCGACGGGCTGCTGTTTTCAGGGATCTCTGCCGAGCCGTTCCTTGCTGGGTTTGAAGATGCCTTCCCAGAAACCTGCTGGGGCAGAGTGAGGTCACCTCTGTGATGTCATCGGGGGGCGGGGCTGCCGGGCTGGGCTTCAGGTCTTTCCGATGCAGGGATCCTTCCCAGTCTTACCTCCCAGACATGAGTCAAGAGTCACTCACATCATGCCCTGTTATGTCAGACTATATGACTTTGGCTGGCATTGACCTTTGACCTCCACTGACTGTTGGTCAGAATCCAAAACGCTCTTCTGAGCGTTAGCTTTGATGAGGTTTAAGACCTGGACCCTGGATCTCTGGTCCAACCCTTCTCTCTCTCTCTCTGTCGCTGTGCTTTCTGGCACAAAGAGAGCGTCTGACACACTCCGGTCTCCTTTTCTTTCATTTGTGGATGTGAAACTTCTCTGCCATTTTCCCAAACTGGTTCTCAGTTTCCCACTTTTTAGTTAATAATTCCACCTGTTGTCATAATCGCTAAACCAAATCTAAGTATTCAAAGTCCTCCGAGGTATAAACAGTGTCCACCCTGCGGACTTCTTCAAAATCCCCGCTGAAACACTAACCACAGGGCACGAGTGGTAACCGTGGAAGTGCTTTTAAACGGGAGGCCCTTTTTTACGCAAAGAGATGTGGGAGTGTGGAGCGAGGCACCCAGCCCTGTGGTTGAAGCGGATACTTTGGCGTCCTATACGAAACAGCTGGGTGAGGTCCTGGGATCAATTAACTACTAACTACCAAACAGGCCAGGGGCAGGGAATGACCTCTTGTTTGTGAGCTGTCCTGTGTTCTGAGCTCTGCAGGAGCTGTGCTGAGGCTGGGACTCAGCTACCAGGAGTAGGGAGAGTGCCATGAGCTGTC